TACATACGTATAGTGTGTGCATATACATATACATACACAGACACAGACATATATATATACACATATACAATATATATATATATATATATATAGATATATATACTTATATATATATATCTATGTATATATATATATAAATGAATATAAATATAAATATATATATATAAATCTACACTTATATTAATACTTACAAATGTGTACATACATCCGCACAAATACCAAGAAACAAACCCGCACATACATCCGCACAAATTTGGACATACATTGACCTCGTCCGTACGTTGCCTCCCATAGACGTCTGGCAGTCGTTGGGGAATGGGTATCATCCCATGGTAATCATCGCTGCACATTTGGGTGGCCAAATATATATGTATATATATATAATATAATGTGAGATAGGTTATACGTATACGATGATGAGCCGATTGACATACGTTTAAACATATATATATATATATATAAATATACATATATATGTGTGTGTGTTTGTGCGTGTGTGCCATGTGCCGCCCCCCTATGCATATATATATATATATATATACTACATATATATAATATAAATATACATGTATGTGTGTTTGTGCGGGTGGTGTGCCATGTGCCCCCCTACTGCATATATATATATATATACATATACATATATATGTATATACATATATATAAATATATGTATATATATATTATATACATATATGATTATAAATAAATATATATATATATACTTATACATATATGTATATGTATATTATTATGTATATATATATATATATATCTATATCTATATTTACATATATATTTATATATACATATACATATATACAATATATATATATATATATAGCCAAATATTAAGAGTATAACGGAACATACACGGGGGGTTGTGCAGGGAAGTTTGAGTTCACTGGCAAGAGATCCTTATATTTTCTTTCTGGGATGCGCTGCCTTCTATTGATGAATTTGATCGATGCCTCAAGATGTACCTGTAACATACATTGTACGTACACTTGTTAGAAAGGCCATTTATCGAAGTAATTGCTGATACGCAAGTCTCGAGATTCAACGAATAGGCCTTCAATAATTTCCAATTTCTACCAAATTATTTGATATCACCATCACTGCTTCAGAACATCTGGCTGCCACCTCGAGTGTTCCGATTTTTTTTTCTGGATAACATCATTTGCGGTGTAGTGCAACATCACTTATAACCTGAAAGACCATCGATATTTTATGAAAACAGGGCAGTATGTACACCTGATTCGGGGGACCGTAGCCCTCTGACAGGTCTGTCCAGCTTAGCAACGCTTTAAGACATTCGTACTCAAAAACGAATTTCAAGATCTTTCTAAAAATAGATGATATAGATGATATAGAACAATATATATATATAAATATATAAATATATAAATATATACATATAATACACACAAATGGAGTGACACGAAATACGTATCCATACTTGAAAACCATCCTCGACGACAACATTATTCTTTAAATGGTAAAGCAGCCCGCTAATCTGCTTGAATCCCTTCGCGCAAACATCCGTGAAGGGACATTTGAAAGGAGCGTCCTTCATGGAGTGAGCTATAGTCATATGGCTGCTGATAGACTTGGCAGGGAATTTCATCTTACAGCCTAGCACCAAGCACTGCATCACTGTAGTTTAGGTGGGTGATGAAGTGATGGTAGGGTATGAGGGTTGGGGAATTACAATGACTGATAAATAAAGTGAAAAAGGATAACATACATGAATAGATACATAGATACATATATGTATACATTCATACATAGATACATAGATACATACACACACATACATTCATACATAGATACATACACACATGCATATATACATACATACATATACATACATACATACATAAATGCATACATACATATACATACATACATACATACATGCATATATATATATATAGATATATATATATATTTCATGACCCACTTCTGTTCACTGTCTGTACATACGCAAAGGTACCACTATCATACAAAATCAACCCAGCACAAACACAAGCATATGAACGCATCCTTGCATGCATGTGCTCATCCATCCCCAGTCGAGATACCTTAAACCCTAAAACCTTAAACCCAAAGTTCAATACAAATTACCATATGGTTGGAAGCATCAACACCAATACAGCCCATTATACGCTTGAAATCTCGCACACTGATATGCCTTAGACATGGGTACATAGGCAGAGGTATCACAGCAGGGTTTTAGGGTTTATATAGTGTGATTGAAGGCGACAAATAGCCTGGGTGGTGCTCTCTGTGGCAAATTACGTAATCACAAATGTTGGGTGGAACAGACCAACCACTATATACACACGTGATAGTCACAACTAGGTGTAATAGAAGCAAACACGTGATAGTCACAACAATTAGGTGTAATAGAAGTAAGCACGTGATAGCAACAACAATTAGGTGTAACAGAAGCAAACACGTGATAGTCACATCAACTAGGTGTAACAGAAGTAAACACTCGATAGTAACAACAACTAGGTGTAATAGAAGGATATAAATACATGCAAGCTCATTCGTACATGCACATACGTTCTTTTCCCTGAGCCGTGATTATGGGCTGCTTCTTAGTGGCTTTTGCCGTTGTGACGTCTTTCCTGACGTATTTTCTCTTCGATTTCGTTATTTCTGCATAGTCAGAATCCCAGCACGTGATATGATTTGTACCAGTCGAGAATATGAACTGGCAAGAATTACTAGCGTGAAATGAAACGCATTGTGCCGTATAAATGTTCATGCATATGTGGTTTTATTGACGGACTATACCGTGCGTACGTGGGTCGATGTGTGCGCTTGTTCGATAAGAACACTATTGTATAGTATTTTGATGTTTATATTGATACGTATGGATATATGCAGATATATATATATTGTAATGTACGTTAGAAGTAGTGGAATTATATGCAGATGTCTGATGGGATATCTTATCCCAAATGAAAGTAAATGTGCGAGTTTGTTTATATACCTAATAACATAAGTTATGTACACAAGTAGCGGATGATTTGTATCAACGCATATATATCATTTTACTCGAGCGAGTGTGATTTAAACCTGTGTGCCTTTAAACCAATTATTTAATTGTTGTTTCCATGATTCTGAGTCAAAAAGGTTTGTGTCATTGCACAATTACACAAAGAAATATATGATGTAATAATATAGTAATATAATATAATAATATAATAATATGTATAAAAGGAAATGCAAGTATGTATACAAACACACACACACACACAGAGAGAGAGAGATATATATATATACATACATAAATACGTGTATATATATATACATATATATAAATATACGTAATTATATAAATACATATATATATATATTTATATACATACATACATATATACATGCATACATACATACACGCACACACATATATATATATATTTACATATACATATGCATATACATATATATATGTACATTCATATATATATATATATATATATATATATATATTGTATATATATAATAAATATGTGTATATTCATATATATTTCTATACATATATATATATAAATAAATAAATATATGTACAAGTTGAGTGGGAGAGAGTGAGTGGATGCGCGAGCGTGTGATCATATTGGTACGGAAATACTTGTTCCCCGTGCAGGTACCTTCCTCCTCACTCTCATCCTCAATCTCATGGTCACTGTCATCGTCACCAGATAGACTCCGCTTTGCGCTTCGAGTTGAGACCAAGGTACCGAACTTCTCCAGGCGGTCATTGGCTACAGCGATTTCAACATTAAAGTCACTGTCGGCGTCCGATAAACTTGATACGCTGAACGAGTCATCATCACCAGACATGTATACCGGAGGAGGGTTGGCTGCGTGTACGCAAGTGTGCGATTACAAGTAAAAGATGATGACATGTAGGTAAGTATATGCCGGGATAAATTCACCTACTTACTGTGTGGTAGATATATATCAAGCAGGAAATGACGAATAGGAGTACAATCGTCGGTCTTAGGAACTAGAGGCGCGAAAAAGTTGTCCTTCTCACGCTTGTATATTGGAGAATACATGCCTGTAGGTACCTTGATTACATGCAGGTTTATTTGTATCTATGCATCAATGCGTGTATGTGTTTGTAGTGGAGATGCACATGATTCTGATTTGTAGTACCCAAGCACTACAGTACTGTTTTTAAGCTATAGAATCACTGTCGCAATTTTCAAGTATGCTTGACTATACTTTCAATGCATGAGTATAGAAACTGAGCGAGAAACAAAGCTAGGTGACACTAACTACTTATAGATCATTGAATGAGCTGATAGAAGGAGGCCAACGACAGACCGACCGAACATACCGACGGAGTCATTTCAGGTAGACGGAGTTATCAGAGTGACAGAGTGGTACAGAACTGTTTCGGTGTAGGCATGAGATTATAACTACAGGATCAGAGATCCAGCAGATGGTCCCCATACTTTTGAGTAGGTAGTACACTTGACAATGCACTACACTGATAGTCAGCAGTATTACAATTATACTTCTATACGTGTATGATTACTATGTACTCGTCGAGAGAGCGCGCATACACACGTGCACGCATATGCACATGCAACAGGGAGTTGATGTCGCGATCTTTCATACACAATATTCGGTTTGTTTTATGAGCTGACTTTGCAATGTCGTTTGGTCCACATTTCAAACACACATGTACGATACTACTTATACAAATGAATAGTGAAAGCGATATATACTTATTTAAACACACAAACGAACAATATGCATATACATACATACATACATACATATATATATATATATATATATTTATATATATAAATTTATATATATATATATATATATATATATATATATATATATGTATATATATATATATACATACATACATATATATATATTGATATATATATATAAATATATATATATACATATTTGTGTTTGTGTATATATACGTACATAAATAGATGCACATGTATACACCGAGGGAGGAAAGTAAACCCGGTCACACACCAGCCTTGGTTGGCGCCTTCTTCTTCAGTTGTGTAGCAGGTCTTCCTCTCTTCTTCTTCGCAGATGCCGTGCTGCCAGTCTTCGCCACTTTGACTGCACTCTCTTGTACACCCCTCTTGGGCGTGCGTGCCTTGACCGGACTGCTTATACTATTTCTGTTTTTAGAACCAGCCTTCCTTTTTGTGGCGATGCGCTTACGCTTCGATCTGATTGGCCCAGAGTCAGCGCTCGCATCCGATTGGTCCTCAGTATCAGACAAGCCAATAGATATAACCGAATTCTTCCGTCCTTTCTCCTTCAGCGCACTTTTACGCACCCGTTTCTGTGACGTTTGGTGTGAGGTGATACGCAGGTGCACATTGAGGGCCCGTGCCTGCCAGAACTCCAGGCCACACTTGGCGTAGGGGCAGCGCAGAAGTAGCGCATACTCTGTCGAGAGGCAGGGGAGGAGAATAGGGCAAAGGCTCGATGAGATGCACCACGGTTGGTTGGGAATACTGCAATGCATACGGGGATGTGATAGGCTCCGATGTACTTTACCGATGTGACCTACCCGCGAGTGGCGGTACCGAGACGAATCAGGTTAAAAACTCCTAAACTATATCATACGCCACTGCGCGGCAGCAGAGGTTACATTCTCACGAGTGAGAGATGCATCGACTTGCTACCAGAGTTGGGTGCACGGAAATGGGTATGCGAAGATACAGACCCTATACAATGTATGCTGCATGTGAACCCCTAAAAACCCTATACAATGTATAACGTTCGATTCCCGATGCTGTATTTGGTTTTTAAAAAACCCTAAAATATAACGTATGATTCCCCGTGCTGTATATGATTTTTTAAAACCCTAAAAAACCTATACAATAGATAACTTCTGATTCCCGATGCCGTATGTGATAGCCTGCGCTATTCATACACGTCTCTATTGAGCAGGAAGGGCAGCTGGACGTGATTCAGGATGGCCCCAGCGAAGTGGATTCTCAATCGAGAATGTGCTTAGGTTGTGATATATGAAGATCTCATACCCTGACGTATGGCATAAAACGCCAGTATAAAACCAAATCCGTGGTGGTCTAGCATACTATCGAAGCAATTAATCACTCGACTGCTTGACATTTGGGATGAAATTTCAGTACGATCGTAGCATCTTGAATAGCATATCGCTCACGCGCATGCACCTCACACACGCAGACTCGAACAAAGAAAAACCTACAAGAGACAATCGAACCCACGAGCATATAGACACAAACACAGATACACACATACATCCTATCTCAGAATCGCAGCATGTCTGCCGAGAGTGAGCTCAGATGCTCGTAGCCGTTCAGCATATGTGGAGTAAACGTGCGCAAATATGCAAGAAAACTCATAGTTATAACTATCAGTACATATACACTTAAGACACTCACACTTATCCGTTGACGTTTCATTTCTGGATACACGTATATATATACATATATACCCACCATTGAACAAAGCCAGTATCCTACCTTTAGCATGCACCTCCTCGTGCGATGTCAGGTGGGTGTAGTCGTTTGGTTTGTGCGATATAAACGAACACTGTGGGAACGGACACTGCAGCGGTCCCATAACAGGTGCATTGGCCAAAGTGGGGGACATTGGACTGGCTTTGGTATCAGATGCAACTTTCTGCTTCTTTGTGCTCTTCTTCTTGGGCGTATTAGGCTCTAAAGCATAAGAAACATGGTAAGGGTTTGTCACAGATGAATTGTTTTTGTATATAACTTTAAGTCAAACACGCGTGCGTCAGGCTCGCGCACGACCCTAACTGGTATGCACTTCTACATCTCACGTAAAAACAGCTTATATATGTATTGTGTACTGACAGGGTTTAGGGTTTAAGGTTTGTGCAGGCATTTCTGATACACATAACCAAGGCGAAAAAGTCGCTCAGATTTCATGACTATGGTACGTAAAAATGTTTATGAACTGTCTCTACAAATCAACATGTCTACATTTCGACGGGACACACGCACTCCATACTGAGTACACGCATCGAGGACTGGTACATGGGGGCATTTCTGTACCTCAGATTGCATGATTATGGTACGCACAAAATGGTTATGAACTGTCTCTAGAAATCACCATTTCTACATTTCGCCGTGACACACGCGTCTCGCACTAAGTACACGCAGCGAGGATTTGGAGGCGACATGCGCGTATATCACGCAAGCACGCCGTCGTGTTGAAGCCCGATCATGCCTGATCTACACGACAGACAGTTACGATTACATACACAACATATATATATATATATACATATATATATATAAATATAATATAATATATACATATATAGTAACATTGTACCGAAACACT